TGGACATAACAGTGTATACTATGTGGCCCATGATACCACTCAAGCGTTGCCATTACAAAAAAAAAAACATTTTGATACAAAAGATGGACTTAATGCTATATAACATTATCTCCCAGTTCCACCTTTGGGAAAACAGAAATATAATAATGAGGTTTGTGTGTCTGTTCACGCTTATCTCCGGAATGATTCGTTGATTTTAATGAAATCTTGTTTTATATCGTATGCTCCAACTTGTCAGATAGTATAGTTTTGGACAGATGAAATAAAATGAATCCACCAGGTGGCGGTAGGAGGCAAAACGATATAACCCGGGTTAGTGGGGGGAAGACATTGCTAGTAACACGAACTACCAATTCCATTGCTGGCAATACACCCTGTCAGGACGACCTCTACGTGGTCCCTCCTGGAAATCATCGTGCTGATTTCCAGGTGTATTCTTTACGATGAGCTAACTGTCTTTTCATTCTCACCTATCATCCCTCACTGGTGCCCCGCCAGTGTATACCAATAGCGCAGGCGGGGTTGCCATTCCATTGTCATCCATTAAAAAAAAACCGGGCAATAATAAATAAATATAAAATTTAATTAAAAAAACATACTGAAAACCGAACTTTTATTCCATTAAAATAGAGTTGCAATTGGCATCACAATTATGCACCTAATAATTACAAACTGTTATCAACACTTGCACACTTTAAGACTTTTATTGCAACGCAGTAGAGTTGAACTTGGCTTATTTTTTTTACCCCCATACACAATTAAATAAGGTGTCTTGACAATGACCCGGTTGTTTAGTCATCACGAAAAGCTAATTGTTCGATTAGCGCTGTAGAAAATATTAGATAATAATACAATACGACGACGATGCAATTTATAAAATCAATTAAAATTGATTTTGTAAATTGCACGCTGATTTTGATGATTTTTTTTAAGGATCTGTACGTCAAAAGGAAAAATGGAATCTTTATAGGATCATTCGCGTGTCTGTCTGTCCGTCTGTCACAGCTGATTTGGCCCGAAACTACTTAACCGATTTAGTTTTTTCTAAATGGATGATAATGGAATGATAACTCCGCCTGCGCTATCGGTATACACTGGCGGGGCACCAGTGATAGATGACTGATGAGGATGACAGCAGGTCAGTTAGCCCATCCTGACGAATTTAACTAGAATAAGTCACGATGGTTTCCAGGGGGAACCATGTGCAGGTCGACTTGACAAGGTATATTGCTAGTAATGGGCTATTTGACCCCACTACTAACAATCTCTTTCACCTAACCGATTTAGTTGAAATGTGGTACACATATGTATATATGTTAAGTCAGTGACCCAAAGACGGACGGGTAATGTAAATAAATAAATTTTAAATACGGGACAATAAATAAATTTAAAAATAAAAAAAAAATTTGCAAATTATATCGTGTGATATATCAAATTTATCAAAGCGTAGCGTAGCGTCAGAGGTGTTCTTCTCTAGAAATCTGTCCGATTCTAGAATAAGGGCATACGGGTATGCGATCCCGGTTTCCCGAGCCCCTGCAGTGTCCCAGTCTTTTCCGCAACTGCAGTGCCCCCTCCCCTTCCCCCTTTAAGTCGCTTATTCCTCTCATTTACTAATTTCCTTTACACATTTCCAATGTTCCCTTCCTTTTTTTCTCAATCCTTTCCTCCAAACCGCAGGTAGCGGAAACCACCAACAAATGCATTCCCAAAGAGGGTTGACGTCAGGCGGCCGGTCGTTTAACTATAAGTCAAATGCATTATTTCTTAAGGTCTTATTTTTAAGGTCACAGTTTGAACAATTGCTGTTTATGTCATTTTGAAAGTATACAGGAAATATATCGCGACTACTTTCAACTGTATTGTAATTAGAACGATTTTTAATATTTGGATTTACTCATAGCAAACCAGAAATATTAAATCGTGACATTCATGGCCATACTTGTTGTATAATAATATTATTATACTAATAATACACACACACACACACACACACACACACACACACACACACACACACACACACATGTGTGTGTGTGTGTGTGTGTGTGTGTGTGTGTAATATATTTATTATTTCTTTTTGGAATGGAGAGGATGAAAATAGGTCAGTTAGCTCATTGGGCTGAATTCCACAAAAAATAATCACAATAGTTTGCAAGGGCAATCGCATAGACATGGACCTGATAGGGAATAGGTTTACATTCTAACATCACATCTAGGTTTTAGGAGACTGAGAATCCCATTGCTAGCAATTCCTGATGAATTCATCATGATGGGCTAACTGGCCTGTTTTCATTCTCATCTATCACCCTTCACTGGTGCTCCGCCAGTGTATCCCGTTAGCGCAGGTGGGGTTACCATACCATTTTCACCCATAAAAACAAAAAAAACTATGCATAATCTATTTTATATACCTTTCTATCTATCTATCTAATAGGCAGAGACAACTGAAAGCCAAAGACTCCTCTCCTGACATATCCTGTACCTAATTTATTTTAATATATAAACATCGCATCCCATTTTTTTAGATTAATTTCCGAAACCGTTTAACCGACTTTTATAGTTTTTGGAAATTTTATTTATGTGTATAATATCTCTAATGGTTTTTAGCACGATGAGAAACAAGTAGTTTTTGTTTCATAAATGCAAACCCACTTCAATTGGGGCCAAGTCAGTTATTTTGGTTTTGAAACAAAATTGCTGAATTGATTTTGATAAAATTTCTATAGAATAAATCTCGAGGTATATCTCTCTAAGACTTTTTGAGTTATTAATGTACAAATTAATTTATAAGACTCAAATAAAGTATGTAGATTAAATTAATTTTTTCAATTAAGGACTCGATGGAGAGCTCATTCCTTAGAGGTTTGTGGGACGAAATTCCTTTGAAACCGCACTATACGCGTCTACGACGTACGTATTTACTTTATAATAAGTTTTTTTTTTTTCATCAAACTACTTAATCTATAAAGTTACACTGATAGATATATTTAAAAACAATTTTCGAAGAAGTGATTAAGATTTACAAAAAAGAAAAAAAAAAGAAATAAAACAAAAACAAACAAGTGCTTCGTTGGCATGAACTTATAAAAAGTATCTATTTTTACTTATATACGTAAGAAACCAGTTTTAATACCTAATTCGGTGCATGAAGACTATATTTAGACAAGGAAATAATCGATGCACTTAACAAATTTAAATGTATTAAATAATTATAATTTAATCAAAATTTAAAATAAATTACCATTCTACTAACATTTGAATCAAAATATCAAAATTCAACTTTTTGTTTTTTTTTTTATGCGACTTAGAATGGCAAACAAGCTGACGGCCCACCTGATGGAAAGTGGTAACCGCCGCCTATAGACATGTGCAGTACCATGGACATAACCGAGTATACTGTTTCGCCCATGATACCCTCCATGCGTTGCCATTCCTGAGGACTCAGGTGTTATTTCTTTATACCCAGTAAATCCACTGCCATATCCCACCCTTCAAACCGAAACATAGCCATGCAAACACAACTGCTTCACGGTAGAAACACGAATGTAACAGAGGTGGCCAAGCAAACGACCTTTGTACAAAGTCTCCCTCTGGTAGGTACATATAGTTTATTTTTAATACACAACAGCGGACTTTAATTTGAAACAAAATTAACACGAGACCAATTCGGATATAAATAAACACTTTCAACAAAAAATCCATACAAATCGGCCCAGAAGAGTATGCATACTAATTTTCCTTAAATTTGTCTGTATTTTTTGTCGTTACGAGTTTTAATTTAAACGTTAATTCTAAATCGATTTCGATGATTCTTTTAATAATGTATACAATGTTCCGATATTAATTTTGTCACGACTAAAGTTCTTACTATATTGGTAAACAAAGTCTTATATTTTCAAGTAGGTTTGGTTGCTGCTCCTTTCGTTCAGGTTTCATATTTCTAAATCGAATCAATTGATTTTAAAAAGAGGAATTTTATTATTTATAAACTGTTATGTATTTTTTTAATAGGATAGTGCTCACAGATTGGGCCCATAGAAATTTTATCAAAACCAATACAGTAATTTAATGAAATCAAAGTAAATAATTTTGACTCAATTGAAGTCGATTTTTTGTGTCGAAACTTGTTTTTTGTGTTGCAATGATCCAGCTATTAATTCTCGACTTAGATTCTTCACAATATCCGTCTATCATCATGATCATCACTTCAACTAAGGGATTGTTAGTAACGGGGACTAGCAGCCCCATTGCGAGCAATATACCCTCTCAGATCGACCTCCACGCGGTTCAGTTAGTAAATCATCGTGGTCAATTCTTGTGTTACTCGTCATGATATGCTAATTGATCTGATGACGATGAAATTTTTTATGGGTGATATTGGAATGGTTACTTCGTCGTCACTATCGGGATACGCTGGCGGGGCACCAGTGACGGATGACAGGTGAGGATGAAAAGGCAGGTCAGTTAGCCCATCGTGACGAATTCCACTAGAATTAATCACGACGGTTTCCAGGGGCAACCGCGTGGAGGTCGACCTGATAGAGTGTATTGCTAGCAATGGGTCAGTTAGACCCCATTACTAACAATCCCTTTGAGGATGATATATTAGAATACATCATCCCCGCCAGTGTATACTGACAGAGCAGGCGAGGTCACCATTCCATTATCATCCATTAAAAAAAAATCATAAATGGGCTAATCAGATATTACAGTGTTGTTGTGTGTTACACTACATATGTTTATAAAACTTGTTAAGTAAATATATAACTTGTTTTAATTATGTAATTTACGTCTAATTAATTTAATTTATAACTATTCGTTATTTTGTGGGTAATTTGCTATTTTGCATTACAAAAGATCCGTTACGAATCTGGATCGGATGCGACCACTTATTTACTTATTATGTTGTTAGAATTATATAAGGCACTATTTGTTTTAATTTGTTAATACGCAATCATCTTACCGCATTATTTGCATTATCTATTTTAAAAACTCACCCTGTTCCCTTTTCGAACGAAAACTGGAACGCACTCCAAAAAAAAAAGAAAGCTGCACTACACTAAAAAGTATTATCTCGTTGGTCAATATTTTTGAATTTCGAACCAATTTAAATAACACTTAAATACAAGTACTATACGTTTTCGCGCGTAAATTTACTTGTCTATGGCTATTATTTTTTTTTAATCGAAGCACGTTAGAGGCAAACGCGGCATCCGCCGCGTCTACTGCAACTGAGCGTTGTTGGTTAACCTTGCTTTTTAAATAACTTCATAAAGTTATATCATTGGACAGTTACTTTAACTATGTTTAGTTGAACTGCTGTTTCCCTATTGCCACCTAGGCGATGGAAGGTCAATCAGTTTTGGACGGTTTTATCAAACTGGTATATATTTTGCATCCTGGTCTATTTGCAAGTGTAATATGAAATAGATTTACTTAATACTTATTTTTCGACTATGACTTAAAATATAATTTTTCTGTTTACTTGTAACAGTACGTCTCCATAATAGATCCCAATATTATCAATTTGAAAGCGAATTTGTTTGTTTGTTTGTTATCTCTTAGCGTCATAACGGCTTAACTAGATATAATATTGAATTAAAAATAAAATAAAATTTATCAATCACTATAATTTGGTATACATATATTATATGAGATGGAAAAGGACCTAGGCTACTTTTTATCCTGGTCAGTAAACTATTCCGGTCATGCAGACAAAGTCGCGAGTACAAGCTAGTAATAATATAATTTATTTATTACCTCTTCGCGCCTTAACGGCTTAACCAAAAACTATGAAATTTGGTATATAAATATTATATGAGATGGAGAAGAATATGGCTATTTTTTTATCCTGGTCAGTGAATAAATCCCAATCACGATGACTGAAAGGGATTGTTAGTAATGGAGACTGAAAATCCCATTGCTAGCAATATACCCAACCAGGTCGATCTCCTCGCGGTTCCCCCTGGAAACTATCATGGTTAATTCCTGATGAATTCATCATGATGGGTTAACTGGCCTGTTTTCATCCTCTTCGATCATCCTTCACTGGTGCCCTGCCAGCGTATCCCGTTAGCGCAGGTGGAGATACCATTCCATTTTCACCCATCAAAAAAAATCCTAGTCACGTGAACTCGCGGGTAAAAGTTAATATGTAATAAGAACTAAACATTGTAATTATCTGGTAGATTCTTAGGCTAGTTTACCACCTAATATGATTAGAGGTCAAACAGGCTAGCGATCATTTGACGGTCCATTTTCAATTCAATTCTGAGCCAATATACAGCCGTATATTTTCTAAATTAACCGGAAATCGAATCCGGATTCTCATTTTGTCATTCTCACGTCAATCCACGATAAATCTCAAAAACCCTTTTTTCAGGGTTGCCAGATACGACTTTAGTTTTTAACACAAACCTCAAATTTTTTTTCCAATTCGATACGATTTTATCCAATCATAAACTTCCATAGTTTCCCTTTATTTCACAAGTGAATAACGACAAAACATTTCTTTTATTTCTAGTTTTAACTCATATTACTCTCTCGTTATGTTACCACATAAAATAAAAATCTATTTTGAGCAACATTCTTCTTACAACGTGCCCGAATACCTAAATGTCAATATTAAATTATGACATATTTAATTTATTCATTTATATGTATGTAATAATCCTGACATTTCCAATTTTAAAACTTGTAATCACCATTATTGGCATGTAATTTATACTATATTGACATATAATTAATTTATATTGTTATTTTTATTTTACATTTAATTGTTTTATTAATTTAAAAGTTATAATGTAAATATTGACTTGCTATTAGTGACGAAAACTGTCACATTGGTTTATAGAGAAATGTTAATACAGACATACTATTCTTTGCTTTACTACCTTCTTTCACATATATTCTATACCTCTATTACATCAGCCGTCCACTGCTGAACATAAGCCTTATCCATAAAGGAGGTTTTGCCAATAGCTGCCACGCTTGACAAGTGAATTGGCAACCGCTAATAGGCTTTTGTTATTTTAGGAGGGACGTTGCTGTGCATCTTACGACTATTAAGTCCATTTAGTCGCCTCTTACGAGAAGAAAGATGGTGTCGTGATAATGTTATGTGATCACGGCATACGGCATGTGGTGTATATACCACCTACCTACCTACCTCCGCACGCCTTACAAAAACCAAAACTGTCCAGAAAAGAATTTCTTTAAAAATTTCTTCAAAAATTCCATTTTTCCATAATTTCGGGAACAGAAATTTTTATATATTCTTTATTGCACTTGTAAATGACATTGTTAATACATTTATAAGTATTGTGAGCAAGGGTGGACTTATCTCTGACAGAGATCTCTTCCAGTCAACCCAATGCAGTTAAAAAGCATGTCGTCAACAGGTAGCTGAAGTGCTAAAACTATTAATATTTAGAATACATAAACAAATATACAGTTTTTTACCCAAAATTGCGAAAAAATACCCAATATGGCAACGCGGCCTCCTTTAGCAGTAACAGCTCAGATATACAATACAATTTGTGAGTTCCATCTTCATGTCTCAGCCTAAATCAAAGTTTTTTTTTTCAAAATACTTGTATAAATAAAAAAATATATTGTTACTTCGTGGTTCAGAGAACACGTAATACCGTCATTCAATAAGCGACGTCAGAGGCCTTCATATACTACAAAGGCGGCCTAGAAACTGCTAACATCAGAGGGCACCACCCTCGCTCAAGTAATAGTAGTAATTGGTATTTATTTATCTTCATGTACACAAATGAGAAAATGTTATTTATAATAGCGGATCTTAGATAGATTGAGCATCGAGTATCAAAAACGTGACAAAATTTAGCCAGCGTGACGTACGACTGGCTAAATTTTTTTTTATTAAAAGCCTAACTTAGTTTTTCACCGTCGCAATTACTATGGGCTAATTACTTATTGGATTAAAAAAATTCCCAAAATGGTAGATTTTTCATTTGAATTTGGAGCTATTATTTTTATATAATAAAAATACACACACACACACACATGTAGTTACGTGTTGCTCATAAATTTATATACATGTATTAATATATAATAAAATATATAAAATGAGGTCATTTTTAATAATTTAAAAACAAAAACATATTTTATGTTTACACTCAGATATAAATCAAAGTATTCAATAAAGATAAGCATCATTATAAATCTTTATCATTACATTTTATCTTGTTCTTTAAATTATATTAAATATATAATTATTTTGTATAATAGTATTTTTATTTTTTAGTTTAACCTTACAATATAATTTTCTCCCATATATCTAGTATTAACTGTACATACTGGTATCCCAATTTACGCACACATTGAGAAATACCATAGATTATATACATAGAGCATCGAGCCTTAAAAACAAGTCGTCTTTTTGACAGTTAATTGTCAAAATAGCGACTCATTTTATTAATCAGTGTTCTATATACCTACGCATACAATGTATCTTGACGTATTACTTAATAAATAAAATGAGTATTTAGGCATTAAAAAGATGCAGAGATTATAAGACAAAATAAATATAGAAGTTATAAAGGAATCACTCATAACTATTTATTACGCAAAATTTTATGAAAAAGTTGACCCGTTTTTCTCGAATCATTTCTATGGAGACACAATCTACATAACGCCAATCCGTTTCAAAAATCCAGACTGCCCTCAAAACCATTAGATGTTTTATTTTTTTTTTTTTATTTTATTACATTTACACTGAATTACAACATGCTTTTTATTTTCACCATAGATAATAAAAACCCAAGAGAATCAATCATCACGTTCATGGAGCGTGAAGGAGAAATTAAAAAATTATAATTAAATCCTAACCTAGTTTTAATTAGATATTAAGATTTTATGTCTGCAAAAAAGTTCAGAAATAGGACAGCTGTGTGCATAGCGTGAAGTTATGGATGGGTAGTTGGGGTCGACAGAGGTGGAAAAAATTTGGTGACTTCATAGTCCGCACAATGGTAGTTGGCATTTAAAGCAAAATGGCGGCTATTTTAATAGTAACAAAATATATAGGGGCCCACACAGAAAAACAAAAAATGAATCTGATAAGAGATACCAGAGGGAGACTTTGTACAGAAGTCGTTTGCTTGGGTACCTCTGTTGCGTTCGCGTTTCAACCGTAAAGCAGTTGTGTTTGCATGGCTGTGTTTTGATTTGAAGGGTGGGATATGCCGTGAATTTACAGGCTACAGAGGAATAACACCTGAGTCCTTAGGAATGGCAACGCATGGCGGGTATCATGAGCGAAACAGTATACTCTGTTATGTCCATGGTACTGCTCATGTCTATAGGCGACGGTTGCCACTTTCCATCAGGTTGACCGTCAGCTTATTTGCCATTCTAAGTCGTATAAAAAAAAAAAACCATAGTTCCAGAGATTAACGCATTCAAACAGACAAATTAATACTTCTGTTTTATTCTATACTTAATAATACTTGTTTTAAATCTTTTAAGTTAGTAATTTTCTAAATTGTCTATATCTACCGATGCGACTACAGCGCCCATGTTTTTTCCAACATCGGTCTTTTGTAGAAGTTCAGGAAGCAAGTTTTTGCGCCAATTAAACCGAATTGTATGGCAAAAAACGGTAATTTAATATTAAATAAGGCGCTGACAGTGATTCCGCTTTATTTATCAACCGGCGCCCGTGGCGTCGCTTGGTCGTTATTTTTTTTAGCTTCTTGCAGTTTTTTCAATTGATTTCAGTATAAAAGAGGTTCTCGATTCGGCTGCATTTAGTTTATTTATTTACTATATATACATATACACACACACACACATATATATATATATATATATATATATATATATATATATATATATATATATATATATATATATATATATATATATATATATATATATATATATTTATATATATATATATATATATATATATATATATGTAAATTAGTATTTTTTTGGCAAACAAGCTGACGACCCACCTGATGAAAAGTGGTAACCGTCGCCTATAGACATGAGCAGTACTATGGACATAACAGAGTATACTGTTTCGCCCATGATACCCCCATGCGTTGCCATTCCTGAGGACTCAGGTGTTATTCCTCTGTACCCTGTAAATTCACTACCAAATGCCTCGTTGTGTGAGATTGATTATAGAGGAGTTATTTTCTTTTACTATCCATTGTTTGTATGTGTGCGGTGTGGACTGCCGTACG